CTGGAGTCAACTGGCCCAAAATGGGCTTTGATCTACTTTTGATGTAGCCTTTAAAAAGTCTCTTGTTAACTTTGTGGCTGTTCTTTCTGTAATTTTGTTTACAGGTAATTCAGGTGCTGGAAACAACTGGGCCAAAGGCCATTACACAGAAGGTGCTGAACTGATTGAGAACGTCATGGATGTGGTCAGGAACGAGTGTGAGAGCTGTGACTGCCTTCAGGGGTTCCAGCTGATCCATTCTCTTGGTGGTGGTACAGGCTCAGGTATGGGCACGCTTCTCATCAACAAAATCAGGGAGGAATACCCTGACAGGATTATGAACACCTTCAGTGTTGTGCCTTCACCCAAAGTATCCGACACGGTCGTGGAGCCGTACAACGCCATCCTCTCCATCCACCAGCTCATAGAGAACACAGATGAAACCTTTTGCATTGATAATGAAGCTCTATATGACATATGCTTCAGAACTTTAAAGCTCACCAATCCCACCTACGGTGACCTCAACCACTTGGTGTCCCTAACGATGAGCGGTGTCACCACCTCGCTCCGCTTCCCCGGCCAGCTGAACGCGGACCTGCGGAAGCTGGCTGTTAACATGGTGCCCTTCCCTCGCCTGCACTTTTTCATGCCAGGCTTTGCCCCACTGACAGCTCGGGGGAGCCAGATGTACAGAGCCCTCACCGTGCCAGAGCTCACGCAGCAGATGTTCGACGCGCGCAACATGATGGCAGCGTGCGACCCTCGCCGCGGGCGCTACCTGACCGTGGCCTGCATCTTCAGGGGCAGGATGTCCACCAGGGAGGTGGATGAGCAGTTGCTGTCTGTGCAGACCAAGAACAGCTCCTACTTCGTGGAGTGGATCCCCAATAATGTCAAGGTGGCCGTGTGTGACATCCCCCCGCGAGGCCTGAAGATGGCGGCGACCTTCATCGGCAACAACACGGCCATCCAGGAGCTCTTCATCCGCGTCTCCGAACAGTTCTCAGCCATGTTCAGGAGGAAAGCTTTTCTCCATTGGTACACTGGGGAAGGGATGGATGAAATGGAGTTTTCTGAAGCAGAAGGCAACACCAATGACCTCGTGTCTGAGTACCAGCAGTACCAGGATGCCACTGCAGATGTGGAGGAATTCGAAGAGGTGGAAGTGGAAGCGAGCCCAGAAAAGGAAGCAGCGTAAAAACAATATCAAAACACTCTGAATAAGCCTGTTGACATTCACTAAAGACAAAGCAGTAGCCAAAAATTAGACATTTCTTCAGAACTTTTCTCTGCATCTGCCAAATAGCTCCAATTTTACAACACAGTGCTTTTGAAATTAATGGCAGCTCTGCTTTACTCTCCTAAACAACTGTTGACACTGAATCGCTCCCAAAAAGGAGACAGGTTGTCTCATAACAGCCTGTCTTGTAAATGTATTCACTTTTAGTATATAATCACCAGATACTGGATGTACTATACAGCCACTGTGCCTGTGTACATATATATCAGGATTATAAGCAACAGTAAAATAGGCTGTCAACTCACCACATTTATTTATTCTCAGGTAAACACAGTGCCTGTTCTGATTGTGAACTTGTAACTGTTTTAGGAACACGTGCATATCTCTAAGGTCTGGAAAGGCAGCGTCTGTTTTATTATCACTCCACAGACTGATGTAGACCTGCAGACAAGTTCAGCAACTTGAGTTGCAGGGGGAGGGCAGAAGAAACAAGATGGGGCAAAAAGACTGAATATGTACATTCTTTTTTTTTTTTTTAAGTACTTTTAATAGTTCTTTCACATTGCTGGCTTATATTATTGCAGAGCTTGTATTCATTATCATGGTGTGGTTTATTTCTGTTTTAAACTATAGGTTGAGTTACATTAGCACACAGAGTTGTGACACTGTGTAAAAGTTTTGGTGTGCTATTTTTTTAATCCTGTGTACTAACTACTGTAAATTTTTCCCTAACATTCAGAACAACAAAAAGGATAGAATGGTTTGTAGCTTGTTAGATGTAAGTTCCAGGGCAATCACTAAATCAAAACTATATTTTGCCTTCAGGAAAAAAAGTTTCTTGCCACAGCCTTCTACTTAACGTTGTATTTATAATATTCTCTTAATAAAAAATATATACCGTTCTGTAAAATACTTTTTATACTTGAAACATTTGACAGAAAAAAAAAATTTATTCTTGCAAGGACTAACTTTGAATTACAGGAAAAAATGGGAGCTTGTTTTATTATACTCTTGGAAGTGAAAGTTTATTGTACTCTGAAGAGTAATGCTTCATGTTTGAGCTCAGTGTAAGGGAATGACCCTGAATCCCATTCTAAGCTGCAGTTCCTCCTCTGCAGCGAGACAATGTGAAGACACACAGCAGGAACATGCCAACACTTCCCCCAAACCACATGAAAGGATAACTTTGCCCCATAGCCAAGAGCAAGTGGAGTGTCACCCTCCATCCCTACTGGGACTGGGATGTCCCTCCCTTAAAGCCAACAGTGTGCCTCTTCCATCAGATACAGCCATCAGAGGTCCTTTTAGTCACTGAAATTATATCCCTATATTCTCTGTTGACAGAGATTTTCGGGAAGAAAACTTTTTTCCAAACAAATAATTAAAATGTAGCAGGCAGAGAAGTTTTAAACAATTAAATCTCTCAGTCATTTACATACCTGAAATATCAGCATGAAACCCAACAAGAGATTTGCCTTAAGAATAAACAGCTGTTGCTGCTGAATGTTAGACCGTGATAAAAACAGTCTTTTATTTTAACATAAGTGAAAAATAAATGTCTCTGCAAAATGGAGAACTTGTTTCAAGAGGAATGACACATTGCACACATTCAGCCATTACATTTATTAGCATACTGATTTACATACAGAGGCAAGTTTTACAGTTGATGTGATGACATCAGGCTGCAGAGTCTTGAGCTTTCCCCTACAGCTCTGCAGTTTGCTGTTATTCACCGCAGATCAGTTCCTACAAGAGTATATATAAAGTCATTCAAGTTATTTGAATCAAGAATATGTATAAGGTACACTAGAAACAAAAGGTAATAATATTTAATTTCAGATCAGGAACAGAAGCTGTTCTACTCAGAACAGAAGACACTTCAGCTGCTTGTGATTTATGCAATGCCATGAATAAAGGTACAAGTACCATCTGTCTTTCACCAACAACAGACAAAAGCCAGCTCATCAGGGGAAGTGGAAACAGCAGTTCAGAGAGGTTGTCTGCTGGCTTAGGAAATATGAAAGTTGAACATCACTACAGACCAGTGCACATCACTATGGAAACCTGCGGGCATCACTACAGAGCCCCAGCTGTTCCATAAAAAGCCTGACCAAACCCCCAAAAGCAGGGCTTGTTGGACAGAACTCCTCACTGCACTGCACTAATGCGATTAAGCCGTTTCTCACCCCACACGTAATCAGGACACTGATAGCCCCAACCCCCTCAGTTCCGTGCCTGAAGGTCGGAGCTGATTCTCCCCAAACAGCGGGGACTAACGTACTCAGCAGTGACAGACCATCACTCTCCCGCACGACAAAGCTCCAACCACGCACCCGGCCCGCCTCACCCACTCACATTTCACTCCTTTTTGGGCTTCACCGTTTTCACCGTGGCCACCGCCGCCTTCTCCGCCTCCGCTTTGTACTGCGGCTTCATGGCAGCCCGCACGGCCTGGGCGCAGATCTGCGAGTACCGGATGTAACTGGGGATGAGGGGACAGAGCGGGGTCAGACCCGAGCCCTCCTTTCCCCCGGCCCCAAAGCCGCCTTTCCCCTGTCCCCAAACCCGCTTTTCCCCGCGCAGCGGCACCGCTGTGACCGCGCCAGCCCTCCCTGCCCGGCGCTGACAGCTCTCCCCGGCAGCTCCTCGCCCCCACAGCCGCGGCGTTGTCGCGGTGCTGTCGCGACAGCGGTACCTGAGCCCGGCCTGTCGCCAATACGCCACCATGGCTGCGGCCTTCCTCGGGGCAAGGTCAGCGCGCGCCGCCGGGACGGGCCCGCCGGCCAATCAGCGCGAAGGGACCGCCCCTGCGCCCCTCAATTGGCCAATCAGAGGGCCCGTCCGCGGCGCTCGACTCCCGCCCTTTCCGCCCGGGGCGCCCCGCCCCTTCTCCTCGGGCCGGGCGGACCCGTGGCCCTGAGGGGGATGTGGGTGGGGCCATGGCGGTGTCGCCCGCAGGTCTCGCAGCTCAGCCCGGTAAAGCTGCCTGGGAAAGGCGTGTGGGCATCCCGGCTTGGGAAGGTCCCGGCTTCCCCTCCAGGTGTGGCCTCGCTGTCCAAAATCACGGGAGTGAATATGTGGGGTTCCGTGGTTCAGGGACGGTAATTCGCCAGAAACACAGCACACGTCAATTAACTAAAGGACAGAAATTAAAGCCCAAGTCTTCTGTGAGGCAAATGGCTAGTTATCCAGCGCTTATGTTAGTTACACATTAACTCGTTCCTCGACAGTCCCGTTGAAATCTAAGAATCCAAGCAAGTGGTTAAAGGGATGTTCTGTGCAGCTTAAATCAGTTGTCATTACTTACCCCTCTGTGCTATTTCTAGATGAAACGCTAAAAGAAAACGATTTACAGGCATGTGGAGCCAATGTTGATTTTTTTTTTTTTTTTTTTTTTTTTTTTTTTAAGCAGACTAGCTTCAATTTGGAGGTTTTTTTTTACCCCTTTGGACACGGTGCCTTGCTGTGGGGTTCCTCTGGATGTGAGACTCTGCAAACAGCTGAAATCGTATCCAGTCATTTGCTCTAAACAAATCCATAAAAGATGACATAGCAAACTAGAAGCTATTGTCAGCTGTTGACACAATGGAAAAGTAGACAATTTTCCATATATAATAAGCAAAAAGTTATTACAAGACTCTAATGATGTTTGATAAGGATCAATTTGGTCCTAACCTAATGCTCATTTAAATAATTAAGGACTTAAGGACTTGGGTTTTTAATAAATCCTTGCACTTTTGCATACCTCTTCTCTTACTTCCTTCGGTCCAGAGGCAAACCATTTTTAAAGCGCAGGGTAACTTTCAACTTTATTAAGAGATCTCATTTAGTCCAGAACCATTGCAATAAACAAACCACACATGGTCAGGACAGAGTTACCAGAACAAAAAGAACAACTCTTCACCAAATATCTTCCAGTCTTTCTGCAGGACAGCATATGGCAGTAAGATCTGGTCCAATAACCTGTGATTTTTGTTTTTTTTTTTTTTTAAACTGCTAAACATATCTGCTCCTACTGAATTTGGGGTTAATTTCTTAAATTCATGTCTTGCAAGCGTTCATACTTAATTTTAAAGAAGCAACTAGTGTAAAGGAGGCAGAAAATAATTTTTATTTCATGCACTTATTTCCTTATTTATTTTTGTATGAGTCATAATTATCCTAATTTTGAGACAGACATGGCGTATTGGAACAAAGTCTTCCAACTTGCAAAAATTAAATCATTGAAAAAATACTTGCTATGACAAATATGTTTCTGCCTTTTTAGCCCAGAAAGGTGCCAGCGTTATGATATTGAAAGGGAACATATTTTGGTTTCTAAACCCCAACTACAGCAGTGACAACAAAAAGATACAAGACAGCACCAAAGGGAAGCCGCTCTCTGCTACCTAAGCAGCACACTGGATGCAAGACAGGTAACTGCAGTACTTACATATGTTGATAAAGGGGATGTTACATATAAATGCTGCTTTAATGGCAACATCTGATGATTTGATAGGTAAAATAATTAGCAGTAAGATTATTTTAAGCCTCATGGGCACCCCGGGCCAAAATAGCAGTATTGGACATTTTTCTTCCAGCTCTGTATCCCTCTGTTCCTGCCCCACACCTTCTCTGAGTCCTCTCCCTACCTCCTGTCTCTCACCTGCTTTTTTCTCCACAATTATCTTTTCTCTCTGTACCTCCCTGTGAAATGCCTCCACCTGCAATTGTGTGAAATTAAGTCAGATTTAAATCCATAATGGAGATGTATGACTAATCCATAATGGAGATATGCAATTATTTGCCCATTCATCTCTATTTACTGTTTGTTGGTCCTGACAGATAAAAATTCAGCATGAATTGAAAAAGTTTAACCTTTGGGAGTGGTACCAGCCATGCTGAGGCAGACTGGAAATCAGATCAGGGACAGAAACTGTGGTCTACAAAAAATCCAGACTATATATTGGTGTTTCTGCAGCTGTTACAAGGCACCAGTATAGATCTGTACGACCTGTTTCCATGCCCAGTTCTGTTCAGATGCCAGGAGATGTTTGGAAAGCCCTAAAATTTCCTCAGATAGGAATTTTCAGAGAGAGAACTTAGGAGAGAGCACATAAAGGGGGAGAGTTCAGAAAGACAGAGAGAGGTTGCAGGGAGAGGGGCTGTGTGAGGGGGGTTAGATGCAGAGGTCAAGGGAAGCTGAAGCGTTGCGATTAGCAACATCCAGGAATGTGAGCGTGGAGAGGTCTGGGGGAACTAAGGGTGTGAGATTAGACATGTCCATAGAAACTGGGGAAGTGAGGGAAGAAGCATCCTGAAAGGTGAGATTGGAGACATCCAGAAAGGGTGTAGAGATGAGATTGGAAACATCCTGAGAGGTCGATGAGGACAATTCAGAGGAGCGCTGAAACAGGAAATAGTTAAAATCAGTGAGGTCTAGTGACTCTGAAGAGGTCGAGGAGCTGTTCTCTGAGATGCCTGGTGAGGATGGAGGGATTGTACAGGAAAAGTTCAAGGAAGCTGAGGAGGTGTGACTGGAAACATCCGTGGAGGACGAAGACGTATGAGTGGAGAGGTCTAGAGAGAGTGAAGTAGTAGGACTGGAGAAATCTGTGGAGGATATAGAGGTGACACTTGAGAGATCTAAGGAGATGGAAGAACTGTCACCAGATTGATCCAGAGAGCCTGATGAAGTGAGACTTGATAGGTCCAGTGAAATGGAAGAGGAGAAACTGGAGCGCTCCCAGGAATCTGAAGAGGTGAGACTGGAGAGCTCTAACGAGATTGAAGAGGAGATACTGGAGAAATCTGAGGAGGCTGAAGATGGGAGACTTGAAAGGTCCAGAGACGATGAAGTGAGACTGGAGAACTCAACAGAGGATGAAGAGCTCAGACTGGATAAATCCAAAGAATCTGAAAAGGGGATTTTAAAGAGTTCCCAGGAGGCTGAAGTCTTGACACTGAAGGGGTCCAGGGAGGCCAAAAAAGTGAGACCAAGTAGGTCCAGGTATGTTGAAGAGATGATACTGAAAAGCCAAGGAACATGACTGCTGTTAAATCAGGAGTATTTTAAACTAAAGGTCTCTCTTAACACACCAAAACAAAACAAAGAGACAGCATGACCCCAAATGATTTTATTTTAAAAATAAAGATTTAAACTGTGTGCTTAGTTAGGTCTCTTAGTGGTTTCTCTTTTGGTGCAGAAAAGCTCCAGCAATAAGAGCTCACAGACTTACTGAGAGCATTGCTCCTTCCCAGGGAACCAGGGCAGGAGCAAATGTTCTTCTTCAACCAGATTTTAGCATCTTTGACAGCCTGACAAAGAATACCTTCCTGTCAAATGCCATCTCCCTGTCCTGAAGGTCTGGAATAAAATAACAGTTATGTAAGAGAATGGAAATTAAAACACTTTAGCTTTTCTTTTCCAAATACCACAGGATACTCAGATCTGAGACTGCTTACTGGCTGTGGAGAGAGATTTTAAACAAATACACAGTTATAAAGGGCAGCAAGTCAAACTGGGCCTCTGACTATAAAGATGTGAGGGATTATTTCCTTTTGATTCATAACATCAACTAAAAAATATGGATATTCCTGATGATTGTAACGAAACTGGCAAAGAAAACAGTATTTTTCTGCACAGCATGTGCAGGATTGTTTTTGGAAGCCAGCAGTATGCTAAACTGATTCTGTGTCCAAGAGACACACATTTCTAGGTCTACTTATTTTTCAGATAAAAAGAGGTCTTAATTTTGTTACTTTGATTTTATGAAAATAAATCTGGACATAAAACCGGTGCAATAACAGTAACTTTTGATTTGTTTAATAAAAATATCCGAAAGAGAAACTGTGATGGAAGACAGAGATATGATTAAAAAGGGAACAGCTTATATTTCAGTTCATAAAGGTGCATCTAATTATAGTATGAGTAGGTCAAGAGGCTGATCCACAGCTGCTTTCTCTCGTCTCCAGACTGTGCTGCAAAGCGGAGCTGAAACCCGCTGGTGTCTCTGTGTCTCTGTGGGCACAGGAAAGCAGAGGAAGTTTCTCAGTCATCACAGCCATATTTTATGGCCCAACAAAGTGCTCCCTCAGAAAGCTGCAGCTCCTCAGGTGAACACAGCCCAGCTCTGCCCCTGTTATTACACAAGCAGTGTCCAGATGCGTGGGTAATGGATTTAACATAATCACCACGGCTGCACTCCCACCGAGGTCACCTCTTAACTGGAGCAGGTGTCTGCTGAACAGGGGCTGAAGCTGAACCCTGTCTTACTATGCAAACATTAAAATTACCAAACTTAAAAAAAAAAATATGCAGCTTAGGTACCAAAGATGAGACCCCAAAAAGTTCTTGAGTACATTTAATATTTATTGATAATGCTTCTGTAATTTTGCAGCTCCTGCAAAAACGTTGCAATTCTTTCAAGAGTACAATGTTTATAGATCAACAGGCAAACCAAATGAATTTTTCTAAACATGCACAGTTTATGATGACATTACTGTTTGCTTGCTGCCCTGTATTCTCAATAAAACATAAAAATGATTAAGCCCTTAAAAATCCCTTGCTATCTAAAACCACTATAATTTTGTGACTATCTTTAATCTCAGAGGTTTCTCAAGTGCATTTTATAGGGGAGAACAAATATTTAAACAAAAGGCAAATTACAATACAACAAAAAGCCGGTGTCCAACAGACTATAAATTCCATAATCTCTTCACTGTGTTCCCTCTGTCTTCATTGAAAAAGACACAGCTATTGCACTTTTTCCTATGAAACAACACTGTGAAGAAACATGAAATTATGGTCACCATTGTATAAAATGTACAGGTCAATAATAACATTTCCTACCTTGGGTAGCTGTGGGTTTATCTTCTTTCTCTGCCTGGGTAAGCCATACTGGGCTGTGCTGGTAAAGCTCTGCTGTTCTCTCTGCTGATGACCCTAATCTGTTCCCCAGCCACTGGAATTCATGCCATGCTGATGACAATGCGGGTCATCTCCTGGTAAATCTCCTGGCCAAGCACAGCACTCTGCACAGAGCAGCAGCAGAAAACATACCCTAAAATCAGCTCTAATCTCAAGGTAAAGTTGCAGTTCTGTGCTGTTTCCTACAACAGGACAATATTTTGGAGGTTAGTTGATGAAGCAGATGAAGATATTATTTTTTAACTTTTGGACACCTGGATTCAAAGCAAAAGTAATTTTGCAGTGTCATCCAAGTTCTCAGCTGTCCATTCTACAAAATCAGGCATAAATAGCCTGTGGAGGGACCCAGGATCTGCAGAGCAGAATTCAGGTACACTCAAGTTTTAAGAATCTTGTCCATTACTTCCTCTTTTAATGTGTTTATTGACTTGTGTTGGCTATGCTACTTTTTAAATGTGGTTATGACAGAATAGCATGGTAATGTAAGACATTTTGTCCACAGTTGATGCTACCATTGAAAAAAAGTTTAAAAACCACCCAGGTGACATGAATGGTCCCCCAAAAAACTGTTGACCTCACTCAAATGTTGCTACTTGCCATATTAGAAAACAAACTTCTTAGCAAGGCATCGACAAGTTGAACAGGCTCTAGGCACATCAAAGTTCACAGCAAGGGCAATTGTTTCATTTAATTTGGTGTTAAAAGGATGGAGTATATGATTAGGAAAATACCACATATGTTGGTCATTTCATTCTATTCTAGCTGATATATTCAGCTGGACTATATGTATATTATCTAGCTGATACTATTTTTTTCGTTCATTGTTTTTAAACTTTTTGATTAAAGGACTGTCAGACTGTTCTGAAGAAAATGTGTAAAAGCCATTGTGTGCTGAACTTTTTGTAATATACACGTCTGAGAAGGAAGACTTTAACTTAACAATGGTACTGTTACAGAGCTATAATTTTTACTGTTCAAATAACATCAAATACTCTCTCTAGTAGATGCAATATGAAATTATTGTAATACACATTGCAGAGGCAATATAATTTCAGCCCACCCAATAGCTTCCTACATTTCTTCTCTTTCAGCATCTCACCGTGCTTGCTGGTGGCTGCACAAAGACTGTAGCACTTCTCATGGTCACGTTTTTTTGGCTCAACAAGCTGACTTGGGTCAACAAAGGCTGTGAAGACCAAGGGAAGAAGTAGGACAGCACAGCCAGGCAAGAGGGATGGCAAACACAGCATTGTCTCCTTTTATGAAGGTAAGCAATTAGCTCAGCTCAGTTGTAACACGTAAACTTACCTTTAGAATAATTTAGTTCTAGAGCAACAAATAAAGCAAAGCTGTCCAATTATTGAAGAAAGAAAATAACAGGTCCTGTGCAAGTAAAAGAAAAACCTTCACGTTCAGAAAGGGAAGGATTCTGAAGTGACTCAGTGCTTCCACACAAGGGCTCTTTGTCAGCACTCTTCAATTCTTCCATAAAGGTGACCCTGCACAGACTGCTGACCCTCCCTTTGAACCAACCATCTGTCAGGGTCAGTGGCTTGAAAAGGTTGCAGTTACTAGAAAATGGGTGCTTAGGTTTACTTAGTATTTATTGACATTTATTGGAAACGCGCTAGACTGCACAGTTTAACTGCAAGTGGAGACCACAACAGACACATCAGCAATGTTGTAGGAAATGGTGGTTCAAGTTTTTTCTGCTTTTTTCCAAAGCAAACAACTTTACATTTACAGTTAACTGCTGTGTGACTGAACAGGTGCTGACACCCATTGGTTGGGAGGGATCAGTCAGAGACCACACCACTGATTTATTCACCCCACATTCTTCCACCTCTGCCCTTTCTGCTCCTCGTGTTCCTTCCCCTTTCCCCCCCCACCACTTCTTTCCTCCTGATCCTTCAGTTTTGTCCCTCCAGCTGTAGATCCTTTCTTACCCACAACCTCCTCCATTCCTTCCAACCCCAGAACCCCCAGGTTCTCTGCCCTGCCTTAGGTCACTCCCACTGGTGCACTCATCCATGGCATCCCCCATTCCTCACAGGGATTTTGAACACAGATCTCAGTCCAAGGAGACTGAAAATCTTTCCACAAGATGGAAAGATTTTCCACAGCAAACTGTGAAATGTGGTCACCAGTTAATGTGTCAGATTTGCAGAAAAGCAGAGTTATTAAGAAGTAAAAAATGTGCAGCTGTGAATGTCCACTTCAGGATATGCATTTCAACAAAAGAAGCCACTCACTCCAGAATATTTCTTCACCTTCACCCTACTTATTTCAGATTACTCACCTCGTAATTATAAAACCCAAATAGACCAGAAAGTTTCAGGAACTAGTCACAATTCAAATAAAATTTTATTTAAAAAGCGCCACATACAGAAAGCCATACTCTGACAGAATGAGAATGCAGGCACGTAAATAAAATAGAAGAAAGAAAATTATTATCTTTCAAGAAGTTGTTGAATGCCTGCAAAAAATTAAACATTCAGTGCAGGGCCAAACTGAGTTCATACTATGCAGCCCTTAAGTGCAGAAAAATTTGGAAAAGAAAAAACTTTTAAAAAATCAGCTGATGGTAATGGCTAACCAAACATGTAAAATGAGTTTCAAGCAAAGCATTTTTATCAGAAATGATGGTACAGTTTTGCAGAAGTTTCACATACTTTAAAAATTGAAATGCTATTTCACTTGTAATAATCTGTAAAAGCATGGCAAACCTCAATGACTTTAATTTAGTATGGTAGTCTCAAATAATTTCATTTTAGAAAAATATTTAGAAGAGTTAAATTTTTAAAAGTTATTTATCTATATACCTGTTTTCTTCCCCCAACACAAACCTTACAGAAGAATGTGTTCTCGTGTGATTACCACTGAAAATAACCTCTGGTTCTCTACACAGCAGACACTACTCAATAGGCAATCTGATATAACAGAAATGGCATGCAAAATAAAATATGCTGGGACAGGTGACATTACACTTCTTAAAGGCTAAGAGGGAGTCTTGAAATCACTTGTAAGATTAGAATCAAATTTCCAGGAAAAGCCTCTGGCACCAAAATACCACCATCAGCTAATTCAGGGCTGTGCCTTTGCATTTTTCTGTCCCACTGAAGGAGCCTCACGGGACAGAGCCCCTGCTGAGGTCCCCAGCACTGCCAGCACACTGGCACACGATGTAAGGAAGGATGGCAAGGTCTGACCTTTAAGTTCCTGCAGCAAATGACTGGTGACAGTACCAAGAACATACAACGAGTACCAAGAACTGCAGAAGATTAATGAAACCCTTGAGAACACAAAGAGCCTTGTGCTGTGAGCAAATTAATCTGGAACTCAGACACTGTTTAAATTAAAAGACAACACAATATTCAGTTGATGTAGCACGTTATCTTTGGAGTGTGATCAGATTAATAAGTATATTTTTAAATATTACTTCCTTTTATGTTTAGGTACTCTTTAGCTAAATTCACAAGGGGTTTTTTGTCTTTAATTGGTTCTTTGAAGTGAACACCTACTATTGTAGCAGCTTGCAAGATTTTAAGGCTCTATGCTTATTGTACCCCTTTATTTAATAAGCTTTTAAAAATGGAGATACTTATAGAAGTTAAAGGTAAATTTTATTTTAAGGTACTGCATGCCCAGCTCATTAATGTTGCATTTAGGAACAGAAGGTAGGTCTTGGTAGGTAAGAGACAATTTGATGTTTTACCTACACTGACTGAAAAATAATTTGAGTACCATATTAATTCACCCCATTAAACAAGTTAAAAAGCTTATCAAAAATATTTTGTACATTCTTTTGTATTTCAAGCATCAAGTAATAAGCTTTCTGTTAAACCGAGTTGTGTCACACAACTGTCAAAAATCAACAAACAGAACAATGCTGGAACAACCATTCTGCTTAATTTTGGGCTTGGTCCCAAAAGAGGTAGTCCAGAAGTCACATACAAAATAAAAGTTCCACAGAAATCAGCCTAACATGCCAGTGTCCTCCACCATGTGCAGCCTCATCACTAAGTGAGGCTATTTCGTATCTGCAAACATTCTAAGTTAGTGTTCATGTAAATACAGGAACTAAACTTGAAAATGATTTCTTCATCTGTAACCGAAATTCGGTCCAGCTGACCCAATATATTAAATAGCCTTTGAACCTCAGCCTTAGTAAGAATTCAGCTTTTCTCCAAATTAAATTTGTGTTGTGCCTAATACACAGGTATGCCTTTAAATAACAAAGGATACATGTATTTAGGCTTGGAGAGAAGCTGCAGATCGTTAAGCCTCATTAGTGATACAGGTATAAGTACTATCATTTCTCTACAAACGCTGCTGCTGCCATGGAGTTCCTCATGGTTCCTCTTGCTGAAGCTGCAAACTCTTCAATTTCAGCATTCAGCCTTTTAATTACCCATTCCAGTGCTTCCCGGCCCTGCAGTTAAAGAAAAGGTTAGCATAAATCTTAGTAAAGAAGTAAATTGGTTAGGTCCTGTCTTACTGGAAATGACAAAAGAAAAGGCACAGAAATACATGCCTCTGGTATTTTTTATTTCAATAATGGAGTACTGCAGGAACATGTTCTGCCTTACATTTCATGAAAACAATCCATTAGGTCAGCAGTGCTCACATTATGATCCACAAAAGCCCTTTTAGCCAGGTTGTTTTATTGTTCTTGAGGCTGAACTCAAGACACCTTTGGATTCCTAGAGGACAGACTCTCAATTAAAACAACATGTCATTACTCCCACAGAACTACTTCAGATCTGCCTGGATGTACATCCTTTTTCAACAGCAAAAACTAACAGATGGCATCAAGAGGGCAGCATAAGAATGACAGTGCCAGACTGTCAAGTGAGTGCAGATGTTTTCTCTGGTGAGGATTCAGAGACCTTTGGCAAAAATAATTTATTATCTTCAATCACAAGAGGAAAAAGAGGAAGAAGTTCACCACACTGAGCATTCAGTCAGCATTTACTCTGCAGTAAAGGCAGTAGAACTATGTGGCCCTTTCCTAAGACTGCTGACAAAGCCAAAAAGTAAAACAGAGGCTTTTATTCCCTTTGACATTCAGCCAGTGTTAACATATTTTGCACAAAAATCATACTTACTTTTTTAGCATTAGAAGAAATT